TATATATATATATATATATATATATATATATATATATATTTACTTTAAAAAACACCCAAACAACATTCAACCTCACTTACTTTAAATGTCTGGCTCAAAAATGTCAAAATATCATCTATGCTGTATAGAAGAAGAAATAAAGTCATACATGTTTGAGCGTGCTCCATTGTTTGCTACTGGCGACCTGGATGAAACGCTTTAAAGCTTAGAATACCATTGAAACTTTGAACAGCTATATCTCCGTAACGGCGCAGCGGATCCGTACCAAATTCGCGGGATCCCTTCAGCCCGAGGAACCCTCTCGAACGCCGAATCGAGTGTACGTCTCGAGGCCCCCTTTCGAATGAGACTGCCCCCGGGGTCCGGGAGTTACGGGCGGTTAAATTCGTGGTCGGGCGCCGACCGATCTGGCGATCCCGGGGGGCTACCGACGCGTGGAGGGTGGAGTTCGGGACGGCTCCTCGAGCTGAATGGATCGCCCGAATTTGGAGGAGAATCCACCGCCGCGTTCGCGAGATAGTGACACAAGCCAACACTTTCACTCCAGTAAGGAGGTCTCTTGGTTCAGGCAGCTGCATTCAAGCGTTGTCTTATTCGACAGTAAGTGCCCTGTGAAGTGGACTTCACATGATATCCTGCCATGATTCCAGTTCCAAGGGAACGTACACGTTACATTCAAAGGGCATTAAAGTGCGTGAGACGTGAATTTAAATTGTATTTATTTACAGAGGTATATTACAGTATCTCACAGAAGTGAGTACACCCCTCACATTTTTGTAAATACTTTATTATATCTTTTCATGTGACAACACTGAAGAAATGACACTTTGCTACAATGTAAAGTAGTGAGTGTACAGCTTGTATAACAGTGTAAATTTGCAGTCCCCTCAAAATAACTCAACACACAGCCATTGATGTCTAAACCGCAGGCCACAAAAGTGAGTACACCCCTAAGTGAAAATGTCCAAAAATTTGGACATTTTCACTTTGGGGTGTACTCACTTTTGTGGCCAGTGGTTTAGACATTAATGGCTGTGTGTTGAGTTATTTTGAGGGGACAGCAAATTTACACTGTTATACAAGCTGTACACTCACTACTTTACATTGTAGCAAAGTGCCATTTCTTCAGTGTTGTCACATGAAAAGATATAATAAAATATTTACAAAAATGTGAGGGGTGTACTCACTTCTGTGAGATACTGTATATCACACTACACACTTCTCTAGTAAGTTTCATCTGTGTGTGAAGACAGAAGCGCAAATCCGTGAATGAATGTTCCGAAGTGAAATAAACCTTAACGGAATAAAGTTGAATGGAATTGAATTGAAATAAAGTTGAATAAACTTCAACTTTACTGTTCAGTGCACTGATGTCAGACTCATTTTGGATAATAAAGTTTGTTAAATTGTTAAATGCCCTGCCTCCATTACATATCTTTGTCATGTCATTATAAGTGTTTGATCACTACATTTGAGTGATCATTGCAAAAATGTGTTTATGTATATATATTCTGTTTATGTATATACTGTATTCTATATATAGTACCAGTCAAGAGTTTGGACACACACATGGGAAAGTGTCCCAAATTTTGACTGGTACTGTACTATAATATACACAAAGAATATCGGCCTTCTTTACTCCCTAAAATCGGTATCGGCCCCCAAAAAACCCATATCAGTCGAGCTCTAATGTTTAGAAAGAGATGCAGGAGAGTAAATGGGGGCAGAATTATATTTTTTCGTGAAATATCCCTTTAAGTAAGACACAGGTCATTTGAAACCACAAGACACCACAAACCATGAAGTCTAGTTTTAAAAATGCCACTTGATCAAAAACAGTAAAAATAGCTGAAACAAGAACTGAATTTTGGGCGTGGAGATGCCGCGATCCAGGCTGGGTATTACTGTGAATGATGCTGAAATATTGTATGTAATTGCGGAGCACAGAAACCCAGCTGCTGAAATATGCTGGGCGTATGCTGGAAGCGTGTGGGAAGGGCAAGACACGGGAGGCCAAAGTCTCTCACAGACATGTACAGTAAACAGTGGTCTGATAAACCAAAGGGCTTCTTACCATTTCGAGAGATGTCTAGCTCTACAAGCTGGTTGAAGTTAGCTATATCTCCCGGCAGCCGCTGGATCTCATTGTCACTTAGGCCAAGTTTTCTCAGCTTAGTCAAATTGAAAAATGGCTGAAACAGAGCAAGAAACACAAATTAATTGCTACTGCAGTTTGAATAAGTCATGCACAATCAGCAATACACTGTGCAATATAGTTGTATTATATATCATATGATTGAAGGACTAGCGCTAGTAATTATAGATGAAATCACAGAAATTAAATTACAGATCATAGAGGTATTTTTTCAAATATATGTACAAAGTAAATGTGTACACAAAGAGTGTAATATATAGTATCAAATAATTAAATAAATTTATTTATTTTTATATACATTTATTTACTTTGTGAATTTTGGGATATTGTATTAAAAAATAAACAAATAAATTTTTTTTTTTAAATGGTTCTTCCCAACCTGGCAACCTCATATTGCATAAAAAGCGCTGATGAGCTGAAAACACTGGCAAACCTGTACAGTTAAGTTGAAGTTTAGTGATCTCTATTGAGGTATTCTGCTCCAATAAAAGAGTAATACAGCCAGTCTGTTTTCTTTCACACTACTAAATCTGCGAGCAAACCATGCTAGTTGACATTCTCTTTACTTATATTTAATGTAAAATAATCGTGATTAACCATTTAACCACTATTATCATGCAGCCCTGATAGATCATGAGATTGGATAACTCACCTAACAAGCAGATCAATCTCATTTTGCATCTAAAATACTGTAAGGTCTGTCATCAAAATCCATGCAGTATGCTTTGATGTATAATACATATTTTGCCAATGCAGTTATTCCTTACATACAAAAAAAAGTACAGTAAATACTGCAGAAATGGTAAGAATAGTACACTAGTATGCTATTCCAAACATAGACTATGCAAATCAGGAGGGTGTTTAGAGAGGATTATGGGTATTTCTGAGGCTGTACTGACTCACATTTGAGTATTATTGATGTGTTGGTCTAGAAGTACAAGACACAAGAAACACCTCATACATAAGGGCTACAAACAGAACCACATCCAGATATCCCGCAATCAATTCACACACAAAAACTAAACTAGTTTATTAGGTTAGTAATTACTAATGTCCAGTGGCCTGGCAAAAGCAGCTCAGTGTATGGGCTCTCTGTGATGTAATCAGCTATTCATGTCTATCTGCCTGACCTACTTGTTCAGTTCCTCCCACCTCTCACTGGCACCATGACTGACACGAGGAAAAAAGTGCATTTGAAGCACCCCATAAAACAGCACAGTCAGAGAGAGAGCAGAGCCAGTTACAAACAAACAACTGCCTGCAGCATCTCTTCAGCAGTGCTTATACTGTACCTTCTGCATGTTCAACTCAACTGAAGCATGTTTGGCTCTAGATGACAATATTAGAGGATATAGTGCCAAAAAGATCATTATCATAAACAACACTGAGCGCTTTGGTGTGCATGGCTTCATTGCCAGTCACTTTAAACTACAAATGGTAAAATGGTCTACCATTGTCATGATGTCTTGCGGTCTGGTTGGAAGCAAGCCAGGGTCCGGAACCGGACTGCGGTCGGCTATTTGAGGACCAAGTCTAGTGTGTAGGTGCCCAACTCACTGTCACTTGGCTGAGAGTGCTCTGTGTTTCTCTCACACACATGGCAAAGAGAGAGAAAGAAAGATGGTCTTGAAAGATGCAAGATGGGCAAGATGTGCACACCAAAAGTGAATTTAATTATTTGCCCAAGTAGATTACATACAAAGTGAATGCAAAGACGCATATAGACAAGAATTTGCGCCGGGCAAAGAGAATGACATGAATTGGGCGACGATATTCTCCTCAATCACGCCGTCCATGTAAGTTGAAAATTTTCAACTTGAGCAGGAAATTCGCATGAGAGCTTATTGACATGTCCGGTTGTTTCAGAAAATGGATGAGAACATTATTGTAACTGTCTGCGGACACCCCGAAATGTATAACACAACTTCTTATTCATACAGTGCCCGGACAAAAAAGGAGAAAAGTAAGCAAGGAAGTTGGACTGGAAATTGGATCTGGTAAGTGATGAAAATATGCATCTGTTACTTGATTCTAGCTATGAGTTGTTGTTGTTGTTGTTGTAAAGACACTCCTTATCGTGCAATGTTTTTATTCGTGCAAGTGACGCGAAAAACATCCCGCGAGTAATCTAGAGCGAGTAACGCAATGCGAATATCCGCTTTGCTTCTGGTGTGCGCATACCATGACATAACACGCAGAACTGACTCGCTATATGGGAATGATATTATTTTTTCCTGTGTTTTTTCACTCTTTAAGAACAACCAGAGGCCACTGCTGCCTGGTTCCTTCAGAAGTGGCCAGGAATAGCACATAAACTTATTACCATCTATGTTTTGATATAAGCACATGAGTTCTAGCGAACACAGACAAGCAGCAGCTTATCAGACCTTAGTGTGTTTTATATTTTTAATAGTAGTAGAATTAGTCCCATATCCATACCGATAGTTTTTCTGGGTTGCATCCGTTGCTGGAGCGGCTGAAGGTCTGCTGTCATTATACAATATGAGAGTGGCTTCTAGAGGCAGAATCACTGACACCTCGTGCTGTTTGTTTTGACATGTGAGGCTGCGTGCTGCACAGAATGGGACACTTCAGATGCCGACAATGAAACTATATGTATAACGTACACTACAGTGCATGCTTCTCGTCCGATACGAGACCATCATATTTTGTTATTTTGATTAGATAACCAAGTGCTCTAAAATAGAAGCAAATAAAGTGGGAGAGAATACATGCAATATACACATGTATGTCATTTCAATGCTGTGGCCTTTTTGTAGATATTTAAAGAAGGCCATCTTTAAGCATGACTCAATATGAAATGGTAATACTTCACAATAAGAGTGCATTTGTAAAATTAACTAAGGTTAATAAATGCTTTATAAGGACTGTTCATTGTTTCTTTGTGTTAATTTCAACTTTTAGTAATTTCTACATTTTAATTTAACATGTAGGTAATGCACTATGATCTAACATTAATGATCAATATATAATTAATAATAATACTTATATTTTTATTCCATTTAAAAAGTATGGTAACATTTTCATGGTTCAGCACTGTTTTTACCAGCATCATCTTAGTTCCCTTCCGAGGGAACTTCGAACTGCGTCCTCTAGGGGTCGCTATGGGGAACGCCTTCGGCGAGACCGGTGTCTGAAGCATACATCTAAACACGACAATGATATTGGCCAGCGACAGTCTATGACGTCATTACCGGCGCGACCACAGTATAAAAGGGCGCCGAGAGAACACTTCATCCTCTTTTCCGTCTTCAAGGACTGTTTGTTTGAAGTGCATACTGGTAAGAACGCGGTTCTTTTTGTTACTAATATGGCGAGCACTAGCACTAGCACTAGCAAGGCGTTTAAGAAGTGTGTGGATCCGTGTCCACGTTATTTGACACCCGATGACACACACGACCTTTGCGTCGTTTGTTTGGGCGAGGAGCACGCACGTGACGTCCTCGAAGGGGCGGCATGCGTTCATAGTGAGCTTTTTCCCATGAGAAAGCTCCGCTCTCGTTTGGCCCTCTTTTCGAGGAAAGAGGGACAGCCATCGGTTCCTCAGGGCTCAGGACCCGCCGCTGCTTAGGCACGGAGGAAACTGAGCTCATGGGGTTCTCAGGTGGACCTGGCCGATGAATTGAAGAAGGGGCTTTCCCTTTCTCGTTCGTCAGTTATGGATGAGAGTGAGCTGCTGGAGGACGACGCTATTTCTCTGACGTCATCTGATCCAGCAGCTAGTGCTCTGCTGGCTCCCAGCCAGGAAGAGCAGATGTTAAATGAGGACGAGGAAGTTGAGACTGAGTCCTCTCAAACCTCCTGCCCTGCGTATGAGGAGCTGCTTGAGGTTATGGAACGCGCCACGACAAAGCTTGACTTGCCGTGGAAGCGGACTAAGAGGGTGGTGTCTCGTGGCCGGCTCGATGAGCGCTATCTTCTGATCATAACCCTCCAGCTCAGGTGAGCCTTCCATTTCTTCCTGATCTTCATGTGGAGATCGAGAAGACTTGGAAAAATTAGTTCTCTTCGCGTATCCACAGATTTCAGCAGACTAGTTATGCCAACATCGAAGGGATGCGTGAAAGCGGATATGAGAGGGTGCCTCCCATTGAAGAGACGCTAGCTTGCTATCTCGCTATGGGAGAAAAATCTTCTCTTAGGGCTCTCTCCTTGCCATCCAGACCCCTTCAAATAACATCTCGTCTGACTGGCAAAGCTTACACAGCAGCAGGTCAGGCTGCGGCTTCATTGCATACCATGGTAATTTTGCAAGCCTACCAGGCCGACCTGCTGAAAGACCTGGATAAAGGTCAGGGTCTTTCCCCTGATGAAGTGGCTGAGCTGCGCCACACTACAGATCTCGCTCTCCGTGCCACCAAACAGACCGCTACTGCCATAGGCAGATCTATGGCGGCTATGGTGGTAACGGAGAGACATCTGTGGGTGAACATGGCTGACATTGGGACGAAACAGAGGGGCTTTCTCCTTGATGCGCCGGTTTCTCTTTCTGAACTTTTCGGCACTTCCGTTGAGACAGTTGTCGAGAGCAGTCTTAGTCACACCAGATCCCGGCTCGCCGTGGTTTCTGGGGCTTTTTAGTAACGGTATTTCTAAAATCCATATCTATGGTAAGTGCACACACTAGTTCTCTGTGCACTTTTCTAAGTCCATATTCATGGTAGGTGCACACGCTAGTCTTTGTGCACCTTTTTTAAAAACCTTTATGCATAACCCTCCAGCTCAGGTGAGCCTTCCATTTCTTCCTGATCTTCATGTGGAGATCGAGAAGACTTGGAAAAATTAGTTCTCTTCGCGTATCCACAGATTTCAGCAGACTAGTTATGCCAACATCGAAGGGATGCGTGAAAGCGGATATGAGAGGGTGCCTCCCATTGAAGAGACGCCAGCCTGCTATCTCGCTATGGGAGAAACATCTTCTCTTAGGGCTCTCTCCTTGCCATCCAGACCCCTTCAAATAACATCTCGTCTGACTGGCAAAGCTTACACAGCAGCAGGTCAGGCTGCGGCTTCATT